TTTTTTTTTTTTTTGTAGAAATTTTTCAATATTTTTCTTTTGAACGATAAATTTATAATTCAGAAATAGAATAATGTTACGAGCTTTAAAGAAAAATAGTTTTGATATCAAAAACCGTTGATGTAGAAAATATCCACAATAAATATGGATAGTGCCTTGAGATAACTGACACACACGTGTGATTAGAATATAAAATATTTTTCAAAAATTAGATGCAATAGAAAAAAAGAATAAAAAATTTTTTAAACTTGAAACAATTATAAATGTAATTCTATGACAATTAATTAATAGAAACAATAGTAAAAGTTATAATCAATTAGAACAATAGCATGTAGAATTCATTTCTCACTAGAAAGGAAATTATCTCTCAAGTAGAATTCAGTCAGTCAGAAATAGAATTATAGCCCAACATTTAGTTATAATCCAATTAACATCTTGTGAATAAAGTGAATATATAGAATACATTGCACAAACGAGAATTCATCATAGTTCAAATCTCATTCTTTGAACATTGGATGATAGCAATTCAGGTATTTTAAAATTACTGTAGAGTTAAACGAAACTTTTATCCAATAATTAATAATAATAGTCTCTTCATTTAAAATTCTCTTACACTTACCTAAATTCTCTAGCATAATATTAATAATCGCGAAATCCTTTCTCACCAGACATATTCGATATTCCAATATTCGAATCGAAAGTTTTAAAATAATTTTTCCACCTTGCAACACGATAGAACGAACCGATCCTATTCAAAGTTCGTTGAAAACAATCGGGAATGGGAATCGAATTCGAAAGAAGATCCATGTCATTTCACTTCCCTATATAATTCTCGCGCCTCCCGTAAATCACGTTATATAATTTCAACCGTGTTATGAACTCGTAAAATGAACGCGGGATTGGAGAACGAGAATATTCAACAACAGGCGGGCATTTTTAATTAATCCGGCCAAAGCTCGTCCAACTCGATATAATCTCGTCGAAACTCACTTGTTTCGACGTGGAGAACAATAAAAGGAAATCATTTTTCATTTATACAGAAGATCGAGATTCGACTCGCGATCAATCTAATCTCTCGTTCGCAAGTCACCCTTCTTTTACCCTTTCGAAAAGCGTTTAGAACACGTGGATCATTCTCTGTGAAAAGCTAGGGAAATAGAGCGAAATGGCAAT